TTTTACTAATTGATCAACTAAAATTTTATTTATTTCTGCTGGTGAGTGTATCTTGTATAGACTTACAGTGATATTCGGACTAAAAGGTGATCGACTTTCACCGGTATGTTGCACATTTCCGGATTGTGGTAAAACCATCACCCATTAACAAAGAATCGACATTTGCATGAGTGACTGCTACTGCTAAAAATGTTTGCTGTTTGACATGTGTTAATAAACGAAACATATTATTGCGCCCTTGATTGAGACTATAGGCTTTCATAATTATTGGTATAAAACATTGATTGTTTGTTATATTTATTTAGGCAAACAATGTATAGCCAGCAGCTGACTATTGCATTTCTTGGCGTGTATGAAATGCGACTGGTTACACAACTTGTATTTATACATTTTATTATAAGTCTGCAGATTATCCGATTTTATTACTTATAGTTAATATATAAGTATTTTATGTCTCTTAAAATCAATACTCTTTGGGCGGATATTATATTATCCATCTACATCTGTTGGCATAGAGATCGGTTACACTTTCCTATAAACATGTTTGGCCATTGAATTTTATTCCCACAACAAACAAGAAAAAAAAATTTTTATTAGCACAAAGAACAAAAAGTCTTTTTTTGATTTTTTTTCGAAAAAATTTTCTTGTTTGACACACTATGTAAGTAACAATTATTTTTAAGCCATCAGTTGTACTCTAAAATAAATATTATAATAAAGTTGTAATTAGTGGAGCAGCAGTAAATAGATTATAGTGCCAACAAAAAAAAAAGATTTGTATGTGTAATTTATATACTATTTACTTTATTTGACTAAAGAATCTGTTACATATGCGTTTCGGAGAACACAACAAATAAGTTCAAAACGATACACAATATTTAGTATTACGTTGTATATACAGAACAAGAAATACTTTAAAGAGTGACCGAATGCACTAGTCATGCATTCTATGAATTATTAACTAAATACGCGTAATAACACATTCTATTGACTTAAATTTGTTTATATTGTATTATTACAGGAAGCAACTACGATTACTTATCTGCATTAAGCATACACTGACATAAATATTGCTGCAAAATTCAGGTTGTACACGGTTGTGTTTGTCTTATTTACGCAAAGTTAATGGATGGACAATTCGTCACTTGTTCGAAAAGAGCAAATGATGAGCTAACAATCCTAATTAAACTTAATTGTAGTTTTATATGCACAATACGTAATCGAAAAAATTTTCCGTGTATGTATGGATTTATTTCGGCCACTGCACTGTTCCGATACTTGCCGCTTTACATAATTGCTTATCTATTTATCAAAGTAACGATTCTCAAACACTCCTTGACCATTGTCATGCCTTTCACAAGCATTCTTATCTGTTCAAATCTTTTATTGCTTACACATATTGTCAGCGTGCACACAACACACAACTTGTTTGGAATCAAATTTTTGTTATTCTACACTGACCTAGAACTAAAAAAAACTTTGGTTAAACTTAATACAATATTTATCCTTGTAGTTGATAATACTGTTTATTGTTGCACACGTAAAATCAAGTTTGCTTGTTTGTAAATTTGTATATTTTTAAATGGGCGAGTAAAGTAACGACAAAAATAAAAACCTCTTTTTATAATACGTTATTATTATACATATTTTACAAAATATTCCATATTGTTTATGTACGTCATAAACATAAACAAAAAATTTTGTATAATCAATGCCTCTTTTATATTCTGTTCACCAAAAGATAGCCGAAAGCAGCAAGTATAAGTTTTATATACAATGATAAAAGAACAATTGTTAGTAAATTATAATATTGCCTTCTCCGAGTATACAGCAAAAGTATTTAACTTTGTTTGGTTTAATTGTAATGCAGTTACGCGTATACAATTTGTATAGCTGGACAATAGATAAAACAATCACTGTGGGCGTTAAAGATGTGCTTTGTGCAGTTATATAATTACACGGCTCGATGAGGAAAAAAAACCAAGCCTTTGTAACCACATCTATTTTGCTAAGCACAGGGTACGTTCATTCAAAATATACTGCATTGTTCGTATGAGATTTAAATCTAAGGGCGATTTGCCTTTTATGTCACTGTTAGTACCCAATCAACCAGCATGTAACATTTGATTGATATGCATGATATAAACGTTTTCCATTTCGTTTTTTTTTTTTTTGTAATTTTGCAGCAACTCATTTACCGCTTGCATTGAAAATAGCAAATCATCAGTGTCGTTATTCGATTGGGTTAAACGATTGAAAAGTTTGTTTGTATTGTAATTATTTAAACATACGATTCCCCTTGCTGTGATCCATTATCTGTCATTCGGATGATTTACTATGCTTTATATGGACACCGTCAATAACATGTAATATTACATATTTGTAATTTAATTCACTATATACATTAATCAATCGATCGATACGGATAGGTCACCACGTATAACGTTGTTCGTGGGGAGTGCATTCGATCAATCTAAAAATACCAAACTTCTAATTTAGACAAACAGGGGCAGATTAGGTAGAATTAAAAATTTTATGTAACATAGAGCAATTGCTAACATGCTAATTCAAACGCATGTTGTGCTTAATAATTTAAGCGTTGACTACGTTCTAAAAAGGTAGGCTGCATACAAATGTGTCATATTTTATCCAAACTAGTTACTAATCGCGCTTTATTGTATAAGCGTGGTTGGTTGTGTCCAACCGATTGTTCGTTAATCTAACATGTTATACTTATTTGTCTTACTTTATTAATTGCTATAATACATACGCGTAGTGTAAGTTAACAATATGCTTATTAATATTGTAATGCTCGATGTTTTTATTAAATCGATATGCAAACATATATATTACCTTCTGAATTTACATATCCTTGTTCTATGTGTGCACCAATTATTTGTAGACAACTTTATTTCAAAGATTGACTAGGCAGACAATTTTAAACCGTTTAATTGAGTCCATTAGGCATTCATCTCAACAGATTCCTGTATTCTTCGACAAATCGTGCATCGAATCTCCGTTAAATTGCTTCTTACAAATGTTGACTAACAAGATGGAATAATTTGGAAGTAATCAAATGCCTAAATGAGCGTATGAATGCATAAATACTCATGCGTACGTCATTAGTACCGAAATGAAGTCAATATGCAAGAGGATGTATCTTGGTTATGAGATATGGCGTTCGCAGGAATTGTATAAATTTATTTGCTAAAGATGAAAAAGAAACATAAGACTAGTAAATAAGGTAGTAGATAATAAAAGGAGGCTAATGTACCACTTAGTTTAACCGCTTATTTTGGATGTGAGTGCAGGATCTGCAAATTATCACACTGAGATGTTTATAACGAGAACCCCGCAACATTAGCGTTTCCTACACTATTATGATTATAACCACTATAGTTCTAACGTTTATTTCCTTTCTTATTCCAGAACTTCTCAGACAGTAAATTGAAAGGCTCTTTAGTATTTTTCCTGTCGCTTTCGCATAGTAAATGCATCTGTTACCATATTGCTGGCTGGCAGTGGAAAGACAAGATGGCCGATTAGGAAAGATTTGGCCGCAATGTATTACCATCGTCTTGTCTGCTATAATTGTCCACGGCTAATGCGAACTTTGATGAATGGAAGTGAGATATGACGAACTTAATGGTGATGCAGCTAATAAGCATGTCGCATGCGATATCTTGGAACGTTTCCCATGGTATTTCAGATCCATGATCTTTAATCCATGTTATATGTTTCACATACTCTGCATGTCCGAGGTATTATCTGACCAACGCAACGCTCCGTTTTACTGAATGCCTAACCTTAGGCGCACCATCCCCTTTATTCATTAGTGATGATTTGAGAACTCCTTGGGGGTGAAAATGGCTAACTTGTCCAAATAACAATGATAACGAGTGGTAATACGTTTATGCTTAATCAACATTACATGACAGCGTTTCATTTGTTACCAGTATTTCTTAATGTTACTCATCAATTCCTTTAAACAATATCCATATTCAGGTAAACCAGGCTTCATCTACGCATTAAGTTTTACGAAAAATGTTTATCGTCTTTATTAAGAAATTCATCAGAAAAATTTTGTCCACAGTTCCTTACATGGTCAAGTCAATCAAGCCATGTGATTCTCGGGTGTGTGACCCAAGAAATTGGATTGTATCACTTATCTTCTCGGCGTTTATGGCGACTTAACCTTAATAAGTAAGTTTATGTTAGTCTTAACAACAATTTCATTGGACGAAAGGAGGAGGCTGAAGAAGATTAGGCTTATACTATATGTAAAAGCGAAGAAAAATGATGGACCGAACGTTGAACTGAACGGTTGAACCGAATGATTGCCGGTGATTAATTGAATCAATAAGTTTTACTAGTTGTTCGAAACGAATTAATGCAAAGTTTCCGTTAGCAATAATAAAATAAAATTGAAAGAGATTAATTGTAGATAATCAATGCATTGATAGCGCAGTAATCATTCGACAACTTTAGAATGCCACTGTGCATTAAATATGGCCGACTATAAATAATGCGGATAATTCCGAGCGTCTGGAAAACAGAGTACTTCAACAAGTAAGGGGGTTTCGTTTAACTTTAGCGCGAGTGACAAATTCTCAGAGCTCATGTCATCCCAATATGTAAGAGAAAAGAGACATCACTACTAACATACAAAACGGACTCTTTCTCCGACGTCCAGCCCAATTGAATACCAAATTAGTCATAATATACCAGTAAAATATTATAATTAATAAAATGTAAAACGAGATTGTGAAACATCAGATTTGAGACACAGAAAGTATAAAAAGAGAGTTTGCGTTCTCCTGTTATTCAGATGTGAGGGTTTATTGTACACAGATAAACAAACCCCGACAATACATACACTCTGTACAGTTTTATCTCTGATAAATATATATATATATATATATATCTCGAATTGCCCATATTTTTCAGACACATCCTACTTTAATAATTTTCGTACATTCCACTCTTTTGTCAAAACGACAATGCCTAAATCCAAGACTACATCCAAACAAAATTCAAATTTTGTTTCTCCGCCTTCTCCCTCACCTTCTCTTGTTTCTAAACCAATTATTATCCCTTGTCCACCTCAACTGCGTCCCGAAGATCTTGTTTCAGAGCATTGTCGCCGCAAAGATCCTTCAAAACCTTGCAACGCATTCATTATTTTTCGCCGTGAATTTGTCAAGCACCTTCACGAAAATGGAACCTATCCTCGTATGGTGAAGGTTAGTCAATTGGCTGGAGATGCATGGAGAGCTCAACCTCTTAGTGTGAAGAAAGAGTATAAGAAAATTGCAGAAAAGACGGCCGCTTTAGTAATGGAAGTTCGAAGACAGACAGCATGTTTATGCGATAAGAATTGGAGACCGTACAAGAACAAGAAAAGAGAGAATAATAATGCTACTACTAAACCTACAAACGACGAGCAACACGAGCATAAAAATAAATCAAACCCAATTTATGCGAAAAACATGACTTACGACACTGAAATCTGCTTCAAAGATGCACCGATAACTCGACCTTCACCAACGTCCACATTCTCCAGTTCCATGCCTCCTCATTTTCAGTCTCGCCCTTTAATTGTATTACACGAAAACCCACAAGATGAATACAAATCTAGCGACCATCAGATCTCTAATTGGAATATGTCTCCAGTAGCATCCTCCCCAACAGTAACGGCACCCGTCAATCCGCCAATTACAGTTTTCGCGCCGCAATCGTCAACATCACCATTTCTTTCTAATACATATTTGCCTACTTTTCCTCCCGAGCCATATAATTCGATTCCACCATTTGTACCCACCCAATCTGCGAATTCGTTTTCAGATGTTAATAATACGGACTATTTGGAGAATATCGAGATGACGTTGAGTGAACATAGATATATGGAAACGCCAAATATGTCAGCACACGACTTTTTGATATTAACTCTGGATAATGATATCAGATATGACCAGATCTTTGTGGACAATGATGCTTTCGGAGTTAATATCAATACGTTTGGAGTTTGATAAAGTTTGAAGGAATAGTTAAAATTTAATATAATATTAGAGTCGAATTAAATTAATTATTATCGATTATGCGTCGGGTGGATTTTTATGACTTACTTATAAACCGATCTTATTCGATCTTTACGTTGTTTTTGTGCCACATGTAATTGAATCATGTTATAGTCAAGTAATTAAATATGGTATAAGTACTAAATAAGATTAAGCTATTATCCCTATGATCAATAATTATGCCGAATAATAAAGACCACTTAATGAGGCCTTGTTTATATGCGGGTATCATAGAGATTATTTGATAAGCGATCGCGCTGTCACAAATTTAATGTCCAGCATGCTTACTACAGACAAATCGTCGAACGTAAATGAATGGGTTTTTTTACCCGCATAATATAATACTTGTGCATTGCAGACTGCCAATATTATATAGCATTACTATAAGTATCAATTATTAATTAATGTATTGTGCTTACTGCATAATGTTTAACTATCAAGACCTGATTAAAAAAAAATTCGGTCAAAAGCATCCATGGCATATCGGTTTTAACTGACATAAATTGATTTTAAGCTTCGGTTACGAGTACGGATAAAATAGAAATGTATTGATAAACTTTCGTTACTTTGCTGAAACTCAATTTTTAATAGAACAATTAATAATTTTATCATGACGCATTAGAATCAGGAATTTCTTATGTAAAAATGATTATGTTATTGCACAAATGTAAGGGGTTAATCGACAACTTTTGGGTGATACTGCATTGCATAATGTATAAAATAATACTATGATGGACAACGATATTTTGATTGTACTTTAGTCTGTTAATAATTAAATAAGAACATAAGCCTACGCATAACGACCCTCTCTTTTCATTTAGATATTACACTTACGAACTATTTTAATCTATTCACAACCACCAAGATCGTCAACTTACACCATTAATTAACAACAAAGTTACACTCGCCAATGCATAAAAAGCAGCTATTTAAACACCAAGTTAAACATGTTATTATTATGGCACACAACTGTTCGACAAGATCGCCACAATTCTACCCAATCAATTGGGATCTTACCGTTACGGTTACAGATAATCACACGTAAATCAGTGATTTTATGCTGATAACTGACACTGTTGTACCTTAGTTTGGGATTGACTGGGTTCTGGACTGAGAACTGAGTTCTCGACTTGAGGTGGCCCCGAATTGAGATACAACGATGGATAACGTACATTGAGAATTGCGCACAGTGGGGTTTAAACGAAATTCGCTCACGCCAATTTTATAATGTGGCAATTGTGATTTACTTAACCAGACTGCGAAATTTTCCGGCTGTAGAAGTGACAAATCAAACACGAAGGCTATTTGACAAATTGCATCATATTTTTACACTTTCTAAAGCGCAATCCTGATACACTTGCAGGGGTCATACCCTAAAATCAATCTTCTTTGCGGCCCCATTATTATCTGTAATATTATTGGTCTGAACAATTTGATTAATCCCCAATTTCCCAAGTCGTTTTACGCGCTCTCTAAGCACCAACAGCCATCTATATTAATACTAGTCACAAACCAAACTTTCTTATAAACCAATGAGACTTAATAAGAAGGTTGGCATAATATAATAGAGCGTCAGTAGATACTATTAGAAAAGAACGCAAGTTACAATACGTGAGAAAAAATAAATGCCTGTTACCCAATATAAGGTAGAGGGGTAATTTGGCGAAGTTAAAGTTCTTACTAAGTGAAAATTTTATTAAACCGTTTATAACTTTTGATATTCAGAGGTAATAAACTAGAACATATTTATAATAGATGCATACAAATAGAAAAGGGATTGTAAAATAGAATTGGTGCAAAAACCACCGTTTTGTAAATGGTCTTTAAAATCGAGATTTTAGGGTACTAGGGTGTAATTTGGCGAATTCTGATCTATTACCAAAGAAATTTTTTTTACATATTATTTTAGCACCCTTTACCCCTCCCGCCCTGATTTTATTCCTTTCTGCTAATCTTTGTTCTCGTATAACCTTTTTTTGAGCTGCTGCTTCTTTTTTTTGTTTTATTTCTTCACGGATAATCTCATGTCGCTTAATATAAGCTGCTTCCATGATAGTGACAAGTTATTATGTTTTAATGTCAAATCACAAAATAAAACAGATGTGCGACAAGCATAACACTATTTCCCCTACTTACTCGTCAAGTATGTAATGCCGCCTTATGTTTTACCTGATGAAATACATAACGGGATGCTCATTATTCCCGTTTAGCTATAGGCTTTTTTCTGAATAATGATGAACAACAGTTACCACTTAGTTTTGCAGATCCTGAATTAGAACCGTTATTATTTCCTGACGATGGCCATGGCCATCCACATATACGACATTAAAGAAGAAATTAAAACTGAAACTATTTTGCTTAAAGCAAATGGTATTTTCCTCAATTTTGCGAACGAGCCAATTCGCGTCCATCTTCAAGTAAAGTATATGTTCCTAAAGAAAACTCAAATTGGTATGTCACAAACACGTTCTCTCCCGACGACGTAATTGAGATAGCCGGCACAGTAACTGAGTTCGCGAAAACGTAATATATGTATGTACGCAAATCTTATACCCAAAATTGCAATACAGTTACAACACCTTTTCCACTCACACATCATATAATCTATCACAGATAAATGCATTTAAATGCAACACTTCTTCCAAAGTGCCGTAAATCCCCACTAGTCGGTACCCCCTTACTCTGAACATTTCACTGATACTATTGTTCTTATTATAGAACCAATTATGATAATCGCAATGTCCTGTTATTATCTGCTGACTGATAATATTTTTACTCCACAACGTTTTGCGATCTAATATCGCTTATGCTTTTCTATTAGATGTCGAGACTTACAAGTGTTGTCATCGTTATCGTAAAGCTTACCTGTATTATTATCGGTAGTATTGTTGTTATATCTTGTCTGAGTAAATATAAACCTAGCTATATATAAAATCCGTTATTATTATATAGATTGAAGTCGAACCGTCCGCATTAACGAAGTTTTTTCGGCGGAACGGAGCTTAAAGCGGACTTTACTGTGTACATTGTGAAAAGGTCTAGAAAGTTCCCATATACTAACACGTCATTGATTAAAACACATATAATGATCAGTAGCGCGTTCGTAATAGTCACTATACTGTGTCATGGACACCACTCAAACGCAAAGCGAGTAGGATCGAGCTAACAAGAAACTGGACAGGTTAGAGGCGCTGAGGAAGGGTGCAGAGGAAAGTTACTCAGGGGAGACAGACACGCTGGAGCGACAGGAAGATTACTGGATGGAAGCAAAGAAGATTGCCCTGCTTGCATTAAACACTCAGCCAGGTAACGACTTTGTGACTCGGGCGTTGAGGACATAGAGTAGTGTGTACATAAAAGCATAGTACGGTATGAGTTTCTTTCTATTATGAACGCGATATGACTTGATAACCATCTTTCATTCGCTGGCATTTGTTTCTAGCTTCTGTGAAGAATCTTTCAGATCCTTTTAGTCAAATGGTATGTCTATTTATGTAAAGTATTGCACTTTTGACATGCTATATTCACAGTGATTTTTCTAGGACATTTCAGGTAGCTCTGGTAGTGTGAGCACATCACCTCTTTCAATGTTTATAAAGACGGTGGTTGATAACTCGGAAATTACGAGAAAAAACTCAGAAGTAATGGTTCGATTTATGAAAGAATTTAGTAGAACTGAACGCGAGACAGGTACTAGTTTTCAAATACGTAAGCTTTGGCATTTCCATTTTTATTAACCTTATTTTGCATACTTAAGTCTCCATAACACAGGCAAAAGCTTACCAGAACACCGTATTTGAAAGTGTTGACGTGGAATATTTTCTCAGCAAGAATAATACTTACCTTGGTTCCTTTAGGTCAAATGGAACAGTTAATACTTATCTGCGAAAATATAGTGTACCAACTGATACAGAAGATGAAGTCCAGGAATGGTTTAATAGACTGATGGAGAATCTCCCAAAATTTTCAAAGAGCATCGCTATAAGAGATACACACACTAATGTATACCTTAGTGGATATAAACCGGATATCAGTGTCTTTATGGAAGACGATATTATAAACGATGCGTATCTTACCATGTATGTACAAGCGCTTTTGGAGGTGAAAAAGAGGAAGAGTTTCTCTCATTTGCTTGATGAAGACAAGGGTCAGTTGTTGAATTATATTCGTATCCTTATCCGCCAACAGCCATTGCGAGAGCTTTTTGCAGTATTTCTTTCAGACGGGTTTTACTTTTATGTAATGGCATATGATAGGAGAACCAATCGGTATAGTGAGCATACGACCAATTTTAAGACTGGCTTGCGCCTCTTCTGGGTGTTGATCAATTACAGCTCGCCTTTTACAACGATGGCTGGACCTAAGTCTATTGATTTCAATCTGTCGCAGGAAGATTTTACAAGAATACGCTTAAAGGAATACTTGGGTATGGGTGCATCTTCAAGGGTGTATAAAATTGACTGGGAAAATACTTCATCAGCCATAAAGGTTTTTAACAGTGGCTATAGTCCGAGTAATGAGGTGGAAACACTAAAATTCTTGAATGAGGGTAATTTCCCGAATGTTCCAACATACATCGCACATGATGATAATTCAATGATTATACGCCCAGTCTGTGAACGATTTGGTGACGGATTCCAAGTATCTCATGCACTACAGCTCCTTCAACATTTAGAGCTCATTCATAAGCAGCAAATTTATCATCGAGATGTGCGCCCGAAAACATTTTATTAGATAGTGATAACAACAGCCTTGTACTTGTTGACTGGGGATCATCAATTCGAATCACAGATCGTTATGAAAAATACACGTATGAAGGGACAAGTACGTTTGCATCACCAGATATTCTAGGAGGAAATTTTGGTCTTTATGTACCTAATGCATCTGACGATTTACATTCCTTCGTGCGTACGATGTATATCTTAAAAAATCCATCAAAAATGCCAGCTATTCCCATGGGGAATTTGCCAAAAGCACGAAAAATAATTGAAGAATTCTGGAACGATAAACTGGAAAGTCCACTTTGGGTAGAGATGGTTAATGCAGCAGCAGATAAAAATTATAATTTGCTAATGAAATGTTGTTATATTTTTTAAAATTATAATACATCCGGTAAATTTTATTAATTTAGAGTTAGGTAAAAACTTCCCATTACACATTTGTTCTGTTAAGAAATTAATAAAGTTTTTCTTACTTGGGCTTTTTAAATAAAACGAATTAGATCTTTTCCCGTGAGATTTATTTTAAATTTGTCTGATAGTAATGTTGATCGTGTCATTGCTGGAGTCTTGAGAGCAGAACGGAAGTTAGATCGTTACTGCGCCAGTGACATCATGTTCCCGTCTGAGTTTACAAAAATACATGCATTAATAAAGTTATAATCCTATTATTTCACAACTACAGTATATGCAGTATCATATGAATTATATTAATATGCACTGATTAAATGACCCGATCTTTTGTAAGCTTTACCGCTATTTAAATCGTACATCTACATGAAACGTGTGGTGTCAAAATGAACCAATTCATTACTTGTTGTCAGTTATCCGGTATCTAGCGGTTAACCTGTACAACTCATCTAACAATCCTGGTTTTAATCGTATATATTGTACCAAATATAATAGGTCTAAAATCCCTATAAATCACATAATAACAAACAACTAATATACTTATCCCTTAGACTGTATTGTCGGAAAATTTGCCCACAATTTTGATTCACCAACAAAATCGCTTTATATCACCTGATGCTACTAAGTAATTACTCCCAACATACAGTCATCCCTCGTTTATATCCCCACTTTGGGACGGTTAGACTTTTTGGGGATATATCTGAAGTGGGATATAACTGAATATAGTAAATAGTATAATGCATTTTTCGTTTTAATAGTACAAGAAATTTATTGGTTCATATACTCTGGTAATGACGTTTGACGCTTGAACAATTTCGTAAACACTAAGCGCGGAAATGCATTCTTTTATATTGAAATCGAGACGTCTTTATTTATAACAATGCTACATAATCTAATTGAAAAGTAATTATTCTTTCGGCAAAAAACTAATTTTTTGGATATGGGAGATGGTCTGTTTAATTACTATTTGGCAATAGATTATAATTAAAAGATCAGGTCATATCGATATAAACATGCATGCTATTTTAATCAGGTCCAGGACTGACCAACACAAAGGATAGTTTAACTATAGATAGAAATAACAAAATATTTATGTAACACAGTTGACATATATAGTAAGCCAAATTTACCGAGGGGATATAACTGAAATATGATCACTATATTTCTATAGGATATGGGAAATTTCGGGGATAGGGATATATCGATTGGGATACAAATGAGGGAAATTTATACTGAGATATAATAGGGGAAATCCGTCCAGCCCCAAAGCTAGGATATATCCGAGGGTGGGTTACAATAGGGGGGGGGATATAAACGAGGGATGACTGTATTTGGATGGCTACTGGTGAATCACCGTTTAGAGATAGGCAGTTCGATAGAAGTTTAGCATGCGATATTATGGCGGACTACGACCATCGATGCCTGATTACGCACCAGAAGAATACAAGAAACTTGCTGAGTTGTGTTGTGATGCTGATCCTGATACGCGTCCAGAAAATGGAGAGACAACTTTGGCATTATATTTTCCAGAAAAGATAATCATGTCAGTGCATGGGGTGCTATCTATCACAATGATGTAGAACCCTTGTCACGTCTCGACAAGGAGAGTAAATATTCTAGCACGCTCTTGCCTACTGAAGGTTTGCCTAAACCAAGAAATAGCTATGGTTCGGATTCAGTTGCAGGTAAGAAGACAACAGTTGTTATTTTCAAGGATATAAATTAAATATGTCAATATGGATTGAATTAAAAGGTGCCAAAACAAAATCGCATGTTTACTGTTAGAACATTCAAATACACAGTGAAATTCACTTTAACGAAGTCGTCCGTTCCGCAAAATTTCTTCGGTAATCTGAAAGATTCGTTATTCTGAAAGTAAGCAAATATTGCACGTGATTTAGTCAATACGAATATCCAATAAAAATTGTTGATTTTATTATGGCGATCAAATTTTATTTCGATTAAATATAATCATGAATGACTGTTTGTCTTCTTTTCTGCATAATATTTCCAAGAATACTTTTACGTAATTTGTTTAAGGTTTGCAATTCTGTATTTAATTTCTCTTGTCGTAAATATAACAGAAGACTGTCAACACTATTAATAGCTTCTGCTGATGACACCTTTCTCACTTCCTCCTCCTCCTCTTCTTCTTCATCCGAATGTCCTTGAATAGTTGCTACAATTTCTCTCATAATGCGTGAGTCTCGTTCTTCATTATAATCAGTGACATTATAAATACTTTCCTCCAAATCAATATATTCACGGACTGTATTCATGGGTTCTTCTGATGGTAGCTGCGCTACTAAATTGATTACTTCAGATTCGAGATTTTCTTCAGCTTCATTGGTCATCGGCTGCACCGTCAGTGGCAAAATTCCACTCTTCTGCCATGATGATTGTATTACTCTTTGTTTCACCTGATCCCAAGCCCCAGCTGCAAAGTTAATAGCATTAAAAATTGTCAACGGAGGTAACTGTTGAGACGATATAGATGTTTCTGTGGTAAATTCCATATGAGTACGTAATAAATCATATTCTTCAATTTGATTCTCACACAGTAGTGACCTGTAATGTGCCTATTATGAAGAGATTAAGAATGTGCATTAAATAATAAAAAACGAGTTAAATAGGATTAAGATGAGAAATTGCTTACTTTTAAGCTGTATATAATGCCTTGATCGAGTGGTTGTAAAACTGAGGTTGTATTTGGAGGTAAGAAGTGAAGTTTAATATTAGTTAGATTATTAATTACTTCTTCAGGTTTATGCGATGCTGCATTGTCAGCAAGCAGCAAAATGTGGCGATTAGCATGTCTCATCATCGAATCTAAACGGTTTAGGTAATGACCAAAAATTGATCACACCATCCAAGCCTTGGCATTCCAATAATACCAAACTGGAAGGCTTGACTTTAGAATTCCTTTTAGACATCGAGGCATCTGACTTCGGTGAATAAATAATAACGGTAGCTTGTGGTCTCCAGTTGCATTACATGTAACCATAATCGAAACACGATCTTTAAGTCGTTTCATTCCAGAGATCGGTGCATGAGCTAGAGTATGATTTGGTTCAGCTTTCCAAAAAAGAGCTGTTTCGTCACAGTTGTATATATCGCTTAGTTCATACTGTGAAAGAATTTGTTGAAGTTCAATGTGCTATTGTGGAAGCTGTGATTTGTCTACACTATCTATTCGCCTCGGCGTCGATAAACTCGTAAATCATTCCGTTGTCGAAATCTAAAGAGCCATCCATCTGAAGCTAAAAAATTTCTAATTTCCATTAACTCAGCTAATTTCTTTGCTTTATTTTGTAAAATAATACCATTAAAGGTGATACCATCTTGAATTGCCTGCTCCGCCCATAAAGATACAGCTTCTTCAATTTGAGGA